TGAAAAGGACTAATGAACTTCATGATGTCACATCCATACATAAAAAAGCCGCCACAGGAGTAGAGCCCATTACCACATCAAGTACCTGGCGTACAAAGATCATGCGGGCCTGTTTGTTCCTTCCTTGACCCCGCAAGAAGTGTTTCCGCTGCGTTAAGACCACGTGCATTACTATCACCGCGTTTAAGGTGAAGTATGACGAAAATAGACGTTTTGACGTATATCGATCACATGAAAAATCGGTTCTTCAATGTTAGAAAATACGAATTCATTGTTTGTTTCACAACTTGTTTCATTTAAATGATAATGAAAACGGAAGCCACCGGTAGTCAACTATGGAGACCGAAACACGGTTGACCTGAACTTCGCTAAAAAAATATATCAGAAATAAGGACCTTCATGTGCTACGCTCCTGAAAAACCTCATTCGCCTCCTCCACTCCTATCAGTCCCTTCATAGAATGCCCATTTATTCTTGGTACGTTTATTCGGCGTTTTTTAAGGACATTCCCAATCTGATTGATATATGCAGTTACACTAAAGTCTACCGCTTCCCACGCGTCCATCCACCTTCGCTCTATAAATTTTTGCCGTCAATCTACCAACATTCATTCTTTCCATGTCACCAAACCCTCTGCCTCTACTTCCCTGGACAAACTCTTTCACAAGGAGCTCTCCTGCTACTGTGTTTGCAGGGTGAGAGGTGTTTGAGATCACGCATCAAGTTGTATTTGAAAGAAATAAAATTAGTAACTAAAAAACTTTTAAAGCTCGATAAACTTTTCCACATGGAATAAAATCTACTGCTACTATATTTATTTTATTACATGTCAACTTCTATACAATCTGTGTTTTCACAAATAAATGGATTATGCTTACGACATGCGGTTCTTGAAAAGGCGAATAAACATTACTCTCAAAGGCTGGCAACTCACATGCAGTGTTGCAAATGTACAATCGATGCCCTGTTTTGCAACACCTGACCCCCTAGCCAACCTTTTAAATTAATACATTTAAAATTAATCTTACGGCTCAGAGGTTAAACGTTAACTTTGTTTAACACTTTTCTTTACACTGGCCTATTCAGCATCAAATATTCGGTTAGGGAGGTAACGTAGGACATTGACTGCACTTGGGCAACTTTGGTGAAAACTTATTCACAAGTTCCATCAAAAACAACATCAAAGTATAAACACGTACACGTGCAGCAATCATCATCTATCATCTAAACTAAACGCGCATTTAATTGTACTAGAACGCTAGGTCATTACAAGGTAACGTTACTTGGGGAGTTTCGATGTTATAATCACAGTATTTTGACTTATGAGTAAAAAAATTATAATAAAATTAGCGATCTTTTTATAAGTTACCATTTTTGGATGATAACCTGAAACCATCAAAATCTTATTTACTTACTTACAACAGTATAAGTAACAATAACAATATAAAACACACACATTATAAGACATTTACAATAATAAACACACAAAAAATTAATTAATAAAATCACACGTCTAACGTCGGATTTCATCAGAGCTGACACCTAATGCCTTTGCAAAACACTGTTGGATTTTATTATTATATCTATTTTAGGCTCTCGCCTCTCCCAAGGCCTAAAAGATAATTTTGAATTTTTAAATTTGAGAGGCGGTATTCCCCAGCAATGGCACAGTCGGCCGGGGTCAGGAACTCAAGTTCAAGAACCGACGAACAATACGTGCCGTATCGAGCAGGACCGCCTTCTGCAATTGTTATTATTTTTATAATACGAAGTGACTGAACAGTAGTAAGCGACACGCCGTTGGTCCAAAGCACTCTTACCTTACCTTACCCTTCCAAACCAGAACGCAGTTATGCTCACATTACTGCTTGGCGGCAGAAATAGGTAAGGTGGCAGTACTTCTCTGGACGAACTCGTTCACAGGGGGCTCTGCTGCTACCGATCTATAAGCTAGTGCCCTTAGTATGCTGTTCAGCATTCTGCTTCTTATTATTAAGGTGTCAAAAAACACATCAAGTTACAGCCCGATAACAACACGTCCTTACAGTGATTTCCATTAATTTTTATGTCTAACGAGAAGGCGGTACGAACCTTCAAAATTTAAATCCCATCGTGCCGTTGAATGTACCAACTTGTAATTGCGTTTGATAGAGATCGATTGGTTCATAAAAAAGTAATTGCTTTCATGCGTGTCGGGCTAAATAGCAATTTCGTGAATGGTATGGTATGCATGAAGATTAGGTGATGGTTTTTTGCTCTGTGACCTCAATAGGCACTTGTAACTGTGTGGCAAACAAAATGTTACGGAGATATCACATTGTACCAGCGGCGCGGTAGTCAAGCTATATGACCATACACGCCGAATACAAGCGGTTTGATAGATGGTTCGTTCATTGTGACGCTTTTAAGAAGAGAAGTGGACTGTATAGAAAGGAATGTTGGTAGGTAAAAGGAGTGCTGAACAACTGAACTATAGCCACAATGACCTTATAGGTAGGTTTTGTGTACGTACGTTGTCCTCTTGCTCAACTTCCAACAGCGGTACCGGTGACGCAGTGGCGATCAGAGGAGACCACCAGTTACGACGATGGCCACTTGATTTATCACCGGACAGTGTTTAGTACAGTACAATAACACAGTAAAACACTAGCGGTTCACACATGGCGAATAGGACTACATAGAGTGAGTTAAAGCTTTAAAGACTATATACATATTTTAGTATTATTATTTAGTATAGTTTTCGTAGGAGTCGAGTTCCTCGTGAAAGAATTCATCCAGGAAAGTACTGCCATCTTACCTATTTCTGCCGCCAAGCAGTAATGTTAGCATTACTGTCTTCCGGTTTTGAAGGGTGCTGGTGAAATGACAGGCACGTGGGACTTGTCAACTTATGTCTCAGGGTTACGGGCGCAGTGGCAGTGCCCCTCACATCTTTGCGATTATTTTGTTTCTTTATTTTTATTTCACAAAATTATTTTTTTTTTCGAATTTTTTTTTTATTTCTTTCTTTTTTTTTTACAAAATACGCGGAGCATAATATTCGTAAATAAATATGGCTGTTTACAAAAATAACAGAAGATGATTAAAAAATAATGATGCCGTAGTGTTCATTGGAGGTATCGAATGAATTCTGGTCTTGAATTACCGAACTTAATTTCGATACTTTGGTATTCATAGTACAGCGACATTCCCTAATTTGAGACCAGGTAATTATTGTGATTGTCTCTAACTTTAAAACAACAAGAAACATTACTTTATACAACATGCAATGTAATAAAAAAGAAATACATATTATATATAATAATTAATAATACGACAAAGGTGTTAAATAGTACATAGTTCCCGCTGACATTCTGTTATGACTCCTTAATGGTGAAGAACAAAAACGAATGTATAATAATTGCCATATTATGAGTAGATCAAACGGCTAAAATGAAATATAATTAAAACTGTACCTATACATTTTTGTTGGACTACCTATAAATTTAGGAAATCTAAATTTTTAATTAAAACTTTTAAATAAATCTGTAGGTACGACGTTCAAAAACATTCAGTGAATTTAATTATCTTTCACTCGGTTTTGTTATGCCGATTTTTACGTTTTTGCTATTTGTAAGTACCGAGCACTGATATAGTGTAACACGGGTAAGTTATGTCTCGGTAGGTCAGTAGTAAGATCAGAGGACAACCCAATGGGGGTTTTGAGTTTATCTTTTTTATATTTAGACAGACTCGTCATACTTTCGTGCTTCCAAAATAATACGTTTATGTTAGACCTGTACCTACTTTTAATTTAAATGCATGCTTAGTGCTAGTTAATTGGCATGTTTTTATATTAAAGGTATCTGTATTTATTTAGTTGGTACGCCTTATGAAATAAATAATAAAATATAGACAGAGAAATTAAAATCAAATTATTATCAATCAGACAAAATCTTATGCAAAAACACTATTGGTCACTATTAGGGGAGATCATCATAATCAATAAACTTGAATTAACGTTTCTGGAACTTTTAGAATAGCTTTTCAATAATGGGATCGCTCTTTTAGTCGCGTCGATAAGGCACCTACTCAGAGTGCCTATGGCAGATTTCAAACTTCTTTACCTTCGTTACCTTCTTTTTTGAGTTAGGTAAAGAAAGTATTAACTATCTTAGAAATAAATCTGTAGATATACTTACCTACATGTTGATACATTCCGTCGAAAGTCTATAACATATTACGTCAATAAACCAAAAGCAAAACATCCGACTGAAGTAAACAAAATTCAAATCACATAAAGTACGTCGGTAAAAATTCATTGGCAAAAATGTCCAAAATATATACCCCGTCGAAGTTGCCAAATATTGACGAAAAATTTCACAGCGGGAATTTTGCGCGAGAATCGTTGCGCTTTTGTTTGCCGTCTGGCAACCCGCTGGCGCGTACAGTGTTGCCATATTTGCAGGGTAAACAGAAAAATAGGGAACACGAATTGCGGCTCAAAAAGTTGTGCACTATAGTGAATAATTTTTGGTATATCGTTAGAATTTGGAAAGTTAGTTGGTCAGTTTGTTTGTTATAGAACAGACGAATATTGTAAGTTTAGGAAGTTAGTTTGCGAACTAGACAGGCAGTTGGGATGTCTCGACACGTACGTAATCCAGATAAACTTTCTTGTTGCGAATAAATAGTATCATTAATTACGAGCTATTTGCAACAAAAACTCTTCTTACTTTCTTACTTTTTACCTAGTTCTTGGTTAGAACGCAGTATCAGCAAACTATTTTATATTTGGCACTGGATACTTACCTATATGACCGCAATTATTTCACCTTATTATACTAATTCCCCGCAAGAGGCATTCCTACCCATTCCTTTCTAGTACCTAAGTCTGGCGCATACTGGGCAACAATCGACAAGTATACCTTACGTCGATTGACAACTCCTTCCACCATGATGGCGAGCATTATGGCGTATGCCATCGATACGATAAGAAAAAGAATTATACTAACGCTTACCAGCAAAAGGCACGTCACAGACGTACTCCTCGACGCAGTTGTCGGTATTGCCACTCCGATCAGTGGCCCCGCTGGCGACTGACGCTGCTGATGCCGCGCGAAGGAGACATAGCTCGGTTTCCGTGTAGCTGTCCCGTAGAGCTGAACGACGTTTGTATTCCTGTGGGAATAAAGAGATTAGGTTAGTTTGAGACAAATTTGACCATCATTAATTACAGGTTTCTTTTCTCGATATATCGAAACAGGCTTAACAGAAAAAAGTGAGTGACAATGGTAACGCTACAAGTAATGAAGGTAGTCGTCGACAGCGAAAGAGGGTAGACAGATGTCTGTTCTTAAAGCTGTCATCTGCCGCTGGGCAGTCAACCCGTGATCACGGAGCATGTAACTGTCGGAAATGTCGGGAAAATAAAAAGAAACCATGCCGTGGTAACTGTAATCAGTGATAGGTAATCATTTAGAGAATAACCACGAAAATTTTAAAATGTATATTGTATATTGAGGCAAATTTACTCATATGCAGGTCGTAAAATTAATATCTGACGAAGATAAAAATGTGTCAACACATAAATAAAGGTACACCACGGCAAGCTTTGAAGAACGGTTAACTGTATATAAATAACTAAACCCAAATAACTGTACATAAACATAAAACATTGAGACGTGAGACGTGATCCTATACACGAAAAGTTTTTGTGCAATGAAAAGTGACCATAAGGTACGCAATTATTCTCGAATAACGACTAGGTATTACGCTCCTGTCTGGGTGAACAGACAGCAGCTGTGGATTGCAGGCGGCTCATTGCCATGGCACTGAGAGAACAATATTTTGTGATTTGATAAAATAATTAATATATATATTAACCGGGCTCTTGATTAGATTGAGCCAGGACACTTGTTGGCGACGATAAGCTCAAATCTAAACTTCATAGTTTAGTCCACAGGCGCAAAGTTGCCCGTCTGTCGGTTTTCTACAGAAAATATTTCGATGAGTGTGCTCATGAGCTCCATCAGCTTATCCTGCCCGCCCCCTTTTACCATCGAACATCCAGACGTACGGCGGAATATTTACCTTACTTGGTCGATATTCCCCTCAGGCGTACTAAGCTCTTTTCATCATTTTTTATTATGCGCACAGCCCAGGAATGGAATTCCCTGCCTGCGTTTCCGAGCATATACCACCCGAGTATCTTTAAGGTGCGACTGAATAGACATCTTCTGAGCGAGCTCGTTCCATCGTCGATTCTATTTTTGCCCCTGGGCTAGGTACTGGTCAAGAGCAAGTCCATTTAATTTGTTATAATTATTAATACAAAGATTGAACAATCAGAAAAAATTTCTTCGATCCGGCCGGATTCGAACCGACGTCTTCTAGCATACCATGTCAGACGCTATACCAACTAAGCTAGGGAACGCACCAGCGGACCTCACGGATTTTTCTATGTGCTTATTGTCGTATCTTGGTTTTACAACGACTTTTTAGCCGTAGTGCCATCTATGAGAAACCAATTTTTTTTTAAATTTAATCTATCATTTAATTTTATAAAAAGCTAGCTTGATTAATTTCCCGCACCCCTAATCTCGCACTAGTATTGATATTTTCAATACGTGTGTCATTTCGGCAAGTAGAGCAATGAGTGGGCGTTTCTTTGACAATAGCGAGGATTGTAAATAATAAATAAATAAATATTAGACAACATCACATACATTGCTCCGATCCCAAAGCAAGTAACTAAAGCACTTGTGATTATGGAAATCAGAACGACGCGACGGCACTACAAACACCCAGACCCGAGGCAATATGAAAAAGTTTTTCTACATTGACCCGGTCGGGGATCAAACCCGGGACCTCAGAGATGGCGACACCATGAAAGCCGGTGCGTACGCCACTCGACCACGGAGGCTTGCAACTGCGGTTGTCTTTTTTATGTTTTACGTAATAACTTATGTTTTATTTAATGGGTTAGTTAAATTGTGCGTCCAGGTTCTATATTATTATATTTCTATTTGTAAGGATCTGTAATAGGATCTCAGTAACATTATTATTTAAGTTAGTTTTAAGCTGTTGGTCTTCCTTTTAGACAAAATAGATGTACCTACACTTTAATGCTCACGCTCAGGAACAACAACAGTACATAGACAGCTTAAAACTACTGTGGGCAAAGGCGGTCTTATTGCTAAAAACGATCTCTTCCGTTTTGAATTGAACTGCGAACTTTGAGACATAGAAAAGCTAATAAGAGCGGGATACGTAGTGTGCCAATAGCATAATTTAATTGTATAGACAAATAAAAATTAACATTATATTCTACAAAATAATAAATAAGGATATAGTATGCTTACATACATGTATATTGATATATACTTATGAATAAACTAACTACCTATATAAATAAACCTAAATAAACTTATACTTACTAATAAATGTACACGTTACAGAGTAGTAGATAAATAAATAAACCTACTTATTTCCCATAACAACGGTGGTCAACAATTCTCACAGAATTTAAATTCTTAAGTCCTATAGACTATATCGAACCCGGGACTTCAGACATGGAGACACCATGAAAACCGATGTGTAAGTCACTCGACCATGGCAGTCGTTAAAATGAATAAGTAATTACTTTCTATGAATATAAGAAAAACATAGCAACTTACCAATATTCAAAAGTCAATCAACCACTCCAAAAGAGCACAGTAATCACTAGCATCACCTTGACACGGGTTTGGTACTAACCAATACACTTTTGTCACGTATTGTGCGTTAACAATTTATTGTACCACTCTGTTACATTGTGTAGTTTTGACATGCAACAGTCCCCCTTTGCGTGACGTTCGATCCTCACCCACCTTTCAAATAGCATCATGACATAAACAGCCCAGCCTATATACGACAGGTGTATATAAACATTTAATATTTATAGAAGGTACTGCACCTGTTTTCATATCTCTCATTATTGTTTTAAAGACTTCCCGTCGCATTAAAACCCTGTATCGACAGATTTTTATGTAAAGTAAATGTGTGAATTGGTAAAAGTGACATATAAAGAATTTTTTTATATAAACATCCCTATATCATTTCCTACGATACAATGATAATACTGAAGGCTCCTACTAAAAACATACAGTAGGCTTTCGATTAATTCAGATTGCTGTACTGAAATGATCAGGCGTTTTCATAAAAACAATAAAATTTTCGGGTTCTTTAATCAAGCGTCTTGCAACGTATTAAGTTGTACACAGTAACTAAATAATAAAGTTAAAAGTTAAGCAGGAAAGGACCCTCCCCGCACAAAGTACATAATGCACTAATAATAATCATGTACTATTCCTATTACTATTCGGTGAGTACCTTACGCCCGCGCCGATTGGCAAATACTTCCACCATGATGGCCCTGCCTATATACAGGCTGTAATCGTTAAGTGTGATCAGGCGATTATTCCATAAATATAAGAAATATAAAAATCTTTAAACTGATATCGAAAGTACGTTACCTAAATCGACAGCAATAACGTTTTAAGAATAAAACTAGAAATATCCAAAATTTTAACATTAAACGCCCCCTTACATTTAATATGACATTCTTAGACAGACTTTAGTTTTCCTACTGTGAGAGGTAAATATAAGTTAACAGTTGACAAATTTGATACAAACAAAGTAATAAAACTATCTTTTAGTTGAATAACAATATGATGGCTTAGTCAATTATTTAGTCCAGTGTGTGTTGCACGTAAAAATGAATAAAATTAATAATTTTTTTTTAAGTGCTGATCGACTCAATTTCATGTAAGAATCTCTTATATTTATGGAATAATCGCCTAGGCACACTTAACGAACACACCCTGTATAGTGCGTGCCATCGATACGTTAAGAAGAAAAATATACAATATTCAATATGTTTCGTGGCAGTGAAACTATACAGATTTTACTACATGTCAATTTGTATAGAACCTATTCATTATTACAAATAACATGTATGTTATGAATTTAGCTTGGTATGAAACTGCGACACACGCATAAAAACGTAGATACGTGGCCAAATCACACCTCTATATCATGGCAACGCCTATATCCGATAGTTACCTATAATATAAGTACTAACATATTCAGTCAACAGCACGTTTATCTTCTTATACTGCGAAACTTCGATCATCTTATCATAAGTGGCACGGAATTGAATTTAAATCCAAATGTGAAAAGGAAACCTCTCGCTGTCTCCATCTATACGGCAACAACTAGTCAAGTAATTGAGTAAATTAGTAGGTAAAATAGTATCTACCTTAATACTAGCAAAAGTAATAACATAGTATTTACCTTTAACGCTGATGCTGACATGATTTGCTGTTGCACTCACGACTTAAATTCTATGATTATGAATTGCTTACATTACTGCCGCCAAGTAGTAATGTCAGCATTACATAGTAGACTTTTATTACATACTTTGGTAGATTATTTTTCAGCCGCCCTTCGTAGATCACTAACCAAAAAACCGGAATATTCTCGAGTAATCTCGGGAATTCCTTCAATTACCAGATTAGGTAGGTATAATATTTACACGTCACATAATTGACATAAAGCTACCTATGTATAATTACGTTACAAAAATTAGCTTCCATGCCATTCCGATATCAATGAAGATTGAGCCTTCAACGCCAATAAACGCCTATTTTGGTGCGACCATCATAATGCAGCAATTATTATGAAAAGAATATGTTACCAAAGAATAGGTATATCTAGATTGTTAGTGGAAAGGAAAGACTAAAGTGGAGCTAAAGCGAGTCGTATGTAATAATTGCTTTAAGTTTTATTCAACTTTTATTTACTCGGCAAGTAATTACTCTTATACATATGAAGTTCTTGGAGTAAGCAATATTTTTCTTGTTGTTCTTATTGTCTTTTGTTTAATGTTAATTCGGGTTGTCAATTGCACTGTCTATTTTCTAACTGCAATTAGTTTTACCTGTAAGTTATTGATACATTCAGTTTTTAGTTGCACCAAGCATATGTTCTTAACATTGTTAATAATGTATTTAAACGTTGGTAAATCTTCAACATAAAATAAAATGTATCCATATTTCGTAGCGACCTGAGCACATTTTTGGCACTGCAATACTCCGCCATTTTCTCGTGGTGATACTTCTATTTCTTTGTAATCCTCT